TCTATCTCCCTCCATTTTTCTGGTGAATTTTAACAAAAATATGCACAGCATTTAGCCACTCTGATTAGTCTGACCAACAAGTTGGGACGAAATCTGCTAATTTTGTTTCAAGAGAATTTTGGCCCTTTCTCTCCTTTTTGTTTTCAAATAAACTGTTAAACAGCATTTATCAAGACACACACATACTCTAACATACTCACTCTTTCGATTGGAATTGCATTGAGTCTGTCATTGTACCAAAATATCTTCATATTTATTTAAGTCTTCTTCAATGTCAAGCTTTAGTAAAACTTAGTGAAATTACTAAAGGGCCTTTCCAAAAGCTAATCCATTGCCTTCAATTCCAACTCATGGTGCTCTTCGATTGGATTCCCAATACTGTAAAATCTTATAGTAGGAGACTGTCCATTTTTACCTCCCCCCTCCCCCGATTTAGAGGCTTTTGGAATTGAATCCTCTATCTTTCTGTTAGCAGATCAACACATTAGGAACTGTACCAACAGGGCTCCTTAAATACCCTCTAATGATTTTTAGTTTTAGCTTTCCTTACCAAATTTATTTCAGAGTATTTAAAAATATTTACAGTAATATTTAAATATACTTTTTACATATCTATTTATTCATTATAAACATTTTCCTCATTTATTACCTATTTAATTATATCATATCACACACTTTTGAGTGTACTAAACAATATGTGTAGCTATTTTGTACATTAATTACATATATTTGGGAATAACAAATGCTGAGTAGTAATGTGAGAACAATGGCTTTGATACTAAGGTTTTGTGTCAATTTGCCTGAGCCATGATTCTCAGTTTTTTGGCAGTTCTGTAATGATGTAATCATCCTCAATTTTCTGTGACACAAATTTTCCATTATAGCATGGTCTTTGGAAACTAATATTGATGAGTGAGGAGACAGTTACAAAGAAAGAATTCTTGTATGCTGATTTTATATCTAAGTCTTGCTGGATTATTTTCTTAAAAATTTTCATTGGTTTGCATACAATCATTCATAGACATCATGCTTCATACATTTACTTTGTATTTATGTAATATGCATTGTGCTTCATGTACATTGTGTTTTATACAATCATTCATGTTTTATGAATTTTAATGTTTATACAAACATTATATTTTATATCATTCATTAAGGGAAACTGATCTGTGTTTATTATCACCCCATCTTTTCAACCTTTTACATTCCTTCAGTGTCCTGCACTCATCAACCTCTGCTATCCCAGTGTGTTTTCCCCCCATTCTCTATCCTTTCCCTTTTGAACAATTATACATATCTTTCTCAGTTGCCTCCTGTTTTCAAAAGAATTGTCTAATGCAGTATTTGTCCTTATGTGACTGAGTTATTTCACTCAGCATAATGCTCTCTTGGAGGAGCTCTGGTGGCCTAGTGGTAAGAAACTGCATTACAATCACAAAGGCACATGGCTCATATCCACCAGCTCCCCTACAAAGGATGGTCAGTCTCCTCCCATGTGATTAATGCTTCCGAAAACCTGCTCGAGTCAGCTATGGATCACTTGGGTTACATGTTTTAGATTATCTTCTTGATTCTTATTTGTGGATTATTTTGGATTTTTCCATGTAAACACAGTATTTGAGAATAATTATTTCTTCCTTGCCATATTTTTCTTTTCATTATCTTTGTAAATGTGAAAAAGTGATATAATTAATAAACCTATATAAAAATTGGTACGATCCAGATTCTGGATCAGATGAAAGCTGATTCCTATGAGTTGAATGTTAGAACACTCCAGCCTTTATTAGTTCTGATACCCGTGGTCCGTTCCACAGCCTTCTCTACTTCTCTTCTGCATTCAATAATCTATTGCAATAACAACAAAGAACTCACAGGTCATAACTTATGGGGTTGTTGTGTGCCATCAAGTCACCTGCGATTCCTAGAGACCCTATGTACAACAACCTAAAACCCTGCTCTATCCTGTGCCAATCTTAATGTCTCTGACACACCAACCCCCATTAGCAGAGTCACTGAATTAATCCATCTCGAGGATCTTCCTCTCTTGAGCTGTCCCTCCACCCTCCAAGCATGATGTTCCTCTCTAAGGACTGGTCCTGCCTTGCAACATGTCCAAAGTACATCAGCCAAAGCTTCAGAATCCTTGCCTCCAAGGAGCAGCCTGGTCTCATCCCCTCTAGGAAGAACCTGTTTGTTCTTCTAGCAGTCCGTGGTATATTCTATACTCTTATCCAGCACCACAGCTAAAAGGCATAAATTCTATCATCCCTAGTCATTGCCTAGCTTTCCAGTGCATAGCAAGTAATTGCAAAGACTATGGTTTGGAACAGGTGCACCTTAGTCTCCAGACTGACATCGTTGCTCTTCAGTACTTTGGCGAGGTCTCTGACAGCAGACTTTCCCAATGCAATTAATCCAGAGAAGGATTAGAATATGGAAAACATGGACTTAGTGACAGAAATTAAGCTGGAGATACAATGATAGAATTTTGCACAATCAACTTACTCATTACAAATACGTTTTGTAAGAAACATAAACTCAAGCTATACACATGGATTTCACCTGATGGTATGCATAGGAATCAGATACATCTGTGGAAAGAAACGCTGGAGAAACTCAATTAGTTGTGAAAAATAGGCCAGGTGCTGATTGTGGAACAGACCGCCAACTACTCATATGCAAGTTCAAGCTGAAGCCAAGAAAAATTAAATCCACGAGAACCAAAATTTGAGCTTGATTCAATCCCATCTGAATCTCAAAATCATTTCAGGAACAGGTTTGAGGTCTTGAACACTAGTGAGCGAATACCGGACGAGCTGTGGGAGGATATAAAGAATATAATCTATGAAGAATGTAAAAGGTCATTACAAAGACAGAGGAGGAAAAAAACACTGAAATGGATATCAGAAGAGACTCTGAATATTGCACTAAAATGCCGAGAAGCCAAAGAAAAGGGAAGAAATCAAGATACTAAGGAGCTGAACAGAAGATTTCCAAGGGCAGCGTGGCAAGACAATATTTTCTTTTACGGTAGATGGTAATAATCAGCATCATGATAAAAGAAGAGATTAAAATTATCAAGGATTTAATTTTACCTAGATTCACAATCGGCACCCATGGCAGCAGTCAAGAAATCTAACATGTATTGCATTGGAAAAATCTACCAAGTGCTCTTTTACAATGGTAAAGAACAAAGATGTTTTAAAAACAAAAATGCACCTGATTCGTGTCAGGGTATTTTTCTATTGCTTTGTATGCATATTTATGTCAGATATCAATAAGGAAGACTCAAGAAGAATTGATGCCTTTGAATTGTGGTGCTGGGGGAAAATAGTGATGATATCATGGACAGCCAAAAAAATAAACAGTTCTGTCTTGGAAGAAGTTCATTAAGGATGCTCTTTAGAAGTAATGAATCTCCGGTGGCCTGGTGGTAAGGAGCTTTGCTGTCAACTCAAAAGCACATGGTTCAAATTCTCCACTTGGCCTGCGGGAAAAAGGTGGGCAATCTCCTCAGGTGCAATTATACAGCCTCTGAAAACCCACTAGAAGGTAAGCTACGGGTCAGTTCTGTGTCAGTGGTACATAATATTAGAGGCAATGAGGTGAGGCTTTGTCTCACATACTGTGGACATGTTATCAGGAGGCCTTAATCCCTGGGAAAAGTCATCATCATGCTTGGAAATAGAGGAAGATCCTTAACAAGGTGGAGTGACAAAAACAGTTACTTTAAGCACAGCTGAAACTGGGATGGCACAGAAATTGGGCAGGGTTTTCTTCTGTTATATAGGTCACCATAAATAGAAGTCAATTCAACAATATCTAAGAACAACTTTTTGTATTTAACTTAATTTTTTTTACCTTTTTTGGGGGGGGTTAGATTTATTTTGCCATTCTTTTTTAGAGTCTTATGGTGGTTCATGTATGTTTTCCAGTATAAGTATTGCTAGCTGTAATTTCTCTTAATCATTGCATTACTTTCAACTTGCAGATTTTGTTTTGATATGGTATTTTTATTTCTCAATATAATTTTATAACTTTTAGTTCTGGGTTGTGTCAATGTTTACTTTGTAATTTTTATAATAGAGGGTATTCTCTCTTGACATTTTATTTCCATCATTTTGGACTGAAAATAAAGTTGTTCATTATTTCCTTTGAAATTTTCTGTTCATTTTCTTCAGCCTAGACTATGGGTAGTGTCTACATGTATTTAAAAAAATTTGAAGCAGTTTTTTGCAGAATTCTGTATAAATCTATTAAGACTATTAGTTATGTAGATTCATCTATATTTTTGTTTACTTTTTCATTGGCTTGTTCCTTAATGGTAAAAAGTACATAGTATAATACTCATGGTTTTACATTTGTGTTTCACTTTATATAGTTCTGTTATAATTTGAGACTGTTATTAGTAACTATAAATCAACATTATTATTTCCTGGTAAGCTCTTAATTATACTTTTTCTTTTATTATTTTTCCCTAAGGTTTATCTTGTGTTGTCTTTTTATGGCTTGTCATAATTAGCAGGATTATTTGTCTACCATATTAAGTGTCCAAATTTAAAGATTTTGTATCATTAAACCTACACAGACAGTTGTTCAGTGGCTAAGTCCAGAACTCAGGTAAATTAAGGTCAAAATGATAAGCAGTTGGCTTGGGCAGGAGGAAGGAAACTTCCAGTGGAGAAGGTTGAATTTAACATACTCCTCATTTCATTGCATTATGTGCAAAGGCCATTAACACTGATAGGTTTGTTCATTGGCAAATTTATTTCTCTTAATCATTCCCATTCTCATCTACAGACAACTGATCAAGTGGGTTTGAAATATACCATAGAATGTGAATATTCTTGTAAAATATGTAATGTTTTTGCAAGTATTTTATTTGCATAAATGGCATGGTGGTATGGAGCTAAAAATCTCATCATACATCTTTTTAAATGCTCAAAGTTTCTAAAACCTTCCATTAACTGCTATATACACATCTAGTTTAATTCATTGACTTCATAGCATTCAACTCTCTTGCATAATTCATTAGTTAGGAAGGGATTTTTTAACCTATGAATGTCTTATAATAAAAACTATTATAAGTGCTTCTGTTCCTTGAATCTGGCCCTATTTTTAATCTTCTGGAGTTACTCTCCATTCCATATGCACAGATTTGTCTGGTTTTTTGCCATACGATAAAAAAACATTTTCATCTTATATTCTCTCTTCCCTGCAGGCTAGAATACTGTGGTTTGACCTCTCTGTGCTGTCAAGATCTCTCCTCTAGCCTTAGCATCAACCAAAGACTGATAAAAATAAATTTGAAACGGAATGCCTTTGGTTATGAAGGAATTAAAAAGTTGTGTGAAGTTTTGAAGTCTCCTGAATGCAAATTACAAATTCTAGGGTAAATTTTCATTGGTTTCTGAGGGGGAGAATTTTCTATAATTTCTATATTTTAGAACCACCCACTTACTGCAAGCCTTGAGGTGAGCCTGATCTCATCTTTTAGCAGCTTGTGCTCTTTGGGCATTTTCTAGGCCTTTGATTGTTTTCCTCCCATAGAAGCCTGAACTTTAAGAGTTCTGGTAGCTTACTGGTAGGGAGCTGCACTGTCAACACAAAGTCACACAGTTTGGATCCTTGGGGGGAAAAAGAGAGGGAGTCTCTTCCCATGATTTACTGTCTCTGACAATCATCTGGAGGGTCAGCTAAGTGTTGGTTTTGACTTGATGGTACAGACCCTCTAGTAGGTTTTCAGGAGCAGTTAATTACATGAGAGGAGATTGCTTATCTTTCTATCACAGAGCAGCTGGTGGATTCAAACCGTGTACCTTTGGGTTGGCAGTGCAGCTTCTCACAGGTAGGCCACTGAGAATTTGAATTTGAAAATGGTTTTCATTCTGGCTTTACCACTCTTTTGATGTATGAACTTGGGCTTGTTACCTAATCTGTTGTAATTTTTTTATGTGTAAAATACATGACATTATAAGGTCTATCTATACCTGTTGAAAGGATAGATCATCTTAATCAATATAGGCTAAAACCTTATATTCTGATTTCTCTCAAGGGGGTTTTTTACTCTATCCCTCATTGTTCCCTTCTCTATCCCTCTCTGTTCCTCAGTCACGTTAATATTTCTTCTCTACTTTAACACAAAAGTTTGGGTTTAAAAAAAAAGCACACCAAACTTTTGTTCTTCATTAAATTATCCACAGATAAAGTAGAGGGCTGTGGTGAAAGACAATTCAGAAGAACTCTTTCCTTGTTTTCTCAGATTGAAGAAAGAGGAATTTGATGAGGCATCCCAGAAACTGTTGAAGGCTGTGGAATTGAGCAATCCATGCCTAACCATTACCTTTGACGACAAGAATGAAGATGAGTCCTGTGACGGCATTGTGGAAGTGCTCAGTGCTCTCAAAACATAGACAAAATCACCCCAATGTGACAAGAGTTTGGGCTCTCACCTTTAATTATTCTATATCCAATTACACTTAATATTTTCAGTTACTTCTATATAAAATATGTTTTTCTTCACATGGGGGCTGAGTGGCTAAAATTAAAAAAAATTCTCTGGAAAACTAACAGTTTTTTTACACTTTTTAAAGAGGCTTCAGTGCTTAAGAACTCTGAGAAAAGCCTACAAGTAAGACTAGAGTGTAGGGCCATAGAAGTTTACATTAAAAACACCTTGTTTTCGTACCCCACTCCCTTTTCCATTGGCTTGACGCTATTCACAGACCTGCCCTCTCTGGCATGTCCTGGGGACTGCAAATGTCAGAATCATTTTATTCCCAGAACTTGACATTTTCAGTCACTTCGCAGGCAATACTTGTAAGTATATTAATATTCATATGTCACTAGTCTTTTCAATAGACAGGGAATCTAATTCTGCAAGGTACATTTTTGATACCCTATTATGAAGGAAAAACTTCCTTTTAAGGGATGTAAGGATCTTGGACTAGAATAAAATACAGGTTCCTCAGTTTTGCATAAATAATAATAAATTTTCTGATTTTTGGCAATTTGTTATAAACAGGCTGATTTTGTGCCTTAGTTATCTGCTGCTAACAGTAATACCAAAAAATGGTTGACTTTAACAAACAAAAGTCCTCTCATAGTTTTTAGGAAGCTAGAAGATTCTGAAATTAAGGCACCAGTTGACGGGGCACACAATTCAATCTATAACTGCACCCTTCTAGTCAGTAAAACTTGAAAGCCATACGCAGAATCCTCTGAGAAGGAAAAAATAATTTCCACTAAATAGAAAAGTGGTAAGATGGCACCCTGTCAAGGCAAAAAAAAAAACTTTCAAGACCCAGAAAAACAAGGTTTTCTCACCACATTCAGGATCTCACAGGTCACACGTTCATTGCTTGTTAGGGACCATCAAGTCGAGGATGACCAATAGTAACCCTGTGAACATATCTGAATCTTGTCCTGTGCCATCCTCACACTGACACACTCAAGCCCATTTCAGCACTATCAATCCACGTGCTTGAGGGTCTTCCTCCACTCTGCCTACTCTCCACTTTTCCAAGCATATGTCCTTCTCCAAGAAGTAGCATCTCTTAGCAACATGCTCGAAGTATGTGAGATGCTTTATCATCTTTGTCTTTAAAGAGCACTCTGCACATTCTCCAAAACATTCTTTTAGCAGTCCGCTGGATATTGAGTACTCTTCAACACCACAGTTCAAAGGCATCAGTTCTTCTGACATTCTTAATCATTTTCCATCTTTCATACGTACATCAAGTGATTGAAGAGACCATGGCCTGAATCAGGCATACCTTAGTCCTCAATCTCACACCATTGCTCTGTAATAATTGGAAGAGGTCTCTTGACTGCAGACTTTCCCAGTACATCTCCAAATACATCTAATTTCCTGACTGCTGGTAACAAGGATGTTTGAGAATTCAAGTTAAGATGAAATCAGGGACAACTTCAATCTTTTCACCAAGAAAACACTATGTACCAGATCTAGACATCACCCTCTCCTGGGAAATTATCCTACTGTGACAGCGTGCTGCACATGGAAGAGAAGAGGCACTAAGTCACAAGCAGTCAGTCCTGGAGCAGAAGCTCAAGGCAAAGGACTTTTCCTCAAAACAGTCTGGGATAGAAACCCTTCCCTAATACTAGAACCTGGAATTTGGACCTAGATACTCCTACTAAACTCCAGAGAGACTGGCCGCAGCACATGAGACCAGCAGCTGTACAAGGTATTAGGCATCACAGAACCACGAAAGGCTTGATCTAAGCCATCATATCAGGGCCTTGAAACAGTGAGAGAGAGGTGTTGAACGGGGGGAGGGGGGCGGGGAGGAGGAGGAGGGGGCGAGAGTGGAAGGGGATGCTGCTGGAGCGGGGAAAGGGATGAGTCAAGACACGTGCCAAGGGCAGAGAGCAACACTGAATCTACTGGTTGCTTTTATAATTGGGAAAAGTCTCATCTACTTTCTGTAAAATGCTTGTCTGTCAGATACTGTTCTAAAGGCTGAGTATTCAAATTAAGACAGACTAGGAAAAAGGATTGGCCATCCACTTCTGAAATAACAGCCCTTTGAAAATCCTGTGTACAAGAGAGCACACTTAGAGTCGACTAGCAGATATGGCAACTGAGGCTGAGTCCTCAAATTTGGAAACAAAGGAAGAATAGTTGTAAGCAGATACTAGTGATTGGAATGTGGAATGTGAGAAGCATGGATGTAGAAAAATTTAACATTGTTAAATAGAACACATAAATATTGACATTCTAGATATTGGATAAAGGAGTTGGATTAGCATGGAACATTTTGACACTCACGACCTACTATGCTGGGGTTGAAATGGTGAGGGAAAATGAGGTTGCTTTCGTAGTTAAAGTCATTTCTAAATCCATCTTGAAATATAATGTGAGTGATAGGATAATATCTGTACACATACAAGGAAGTCCAGTGAATACCACCATCATTCAAATATGTGCACCAACATCTACAGCCAAAAAAGGAAATAGACGATTTCTATCAATTTTCGCAGTCAGAAATAGGTCAAACAGGAAATCAAGATGCTTTATAATAATAATAATGGGTGACTGGAATGCAAAACTTGGGAACAGGGAAGAAGGATCAGTAGTCTGACAGCATTGGACTTGGGGACAGAAATGAGGCTGGAGATAGAATGATAGAATTCTGTACTATCAATGATTTAGTCATTTAGTCTTTTTATAAGAAACATAAAAGTAGATTATACACATGGAATTTACCTGATGGTATGCATAGGTATCAGATCAGTCATATCTGTGGAAAGAATCACTGGAGAAGCTTAATGTCAGCTGTGAAAACTAGGCCCGCTCCTGATTGGGGAACAGACCAGATGCAAGTTCCAGCAGAAGCTAAAGAAAGTTAAATCCACAGGAACCAAACTGACCTTGAGTTGATCCCACCTGAACTTCAAAACCAACTCAGGAACAGATTTCAGGCCTTGAACACTAATGAGCAAAGACTGGATGAACCGTGGGAGGATATAAAGAATATCATCTATGAAGAATGCAAAAAGTCATTACAAAGACAGGAGGAAAAGATGAAGATGGACGTCAGATGAGACTCTGAATATTGCACTAGAATACCGAGGAGCAAAAGCAAAGGAAAGAAATCAAGAAGTTAAGGAGCTGAACAGAAGATTTCAAAAAGCAGCACATGAAGATGAAGTATTATAGTGGTGTGTGCAAAGAGCTGCAGCCAGAAATTCAAGAGTCAAACTTGCTAGGCATTTCTTAAGCTGAAAAAAATGAATATATTCAAGCCTTGAGTTGCAATACTTAAGTATGCTTTGAGCAGAATATTAAATGATCCAGGAAGCATTAAAAGAAGATGGAAGGAGTATACAGAGTCACAATCAAGGATTTGTTTATTGCAAATACTTTTTGTAAAAACTGCCAAAAGGAATTGACTGGCATAGAAAAATTTCATGAAACAACATATCAGCAAGAACCTGTGGTGATAAAGAAGTTCAAGCTGATCTGAAGGAATTGGCAAAAAACAAGACCCCAGGAATTTACAGCATACCAATTAACATATTTCAACAGACACTACCCTGCATGCGCTCACCAAGAAACCTGGAGGACAACTACCAGAAAAGGATGGGTCAAGACACACATGCCAAGGGCGGGGAGCAACTACAATCTATTGGTTGCTTCTATAATTGGGAAATGTCTTTCATCTGCTCCTTTATTCCCATTCCAAAGAAAGGTGACCCAACAGATGCAAAAATTATCAAAGAACATCATTAATATCACATGCAAGTAAGATCCTACTGAAAATTCTTCAGAAATGACTGGAACAGCACATCAAAAGAGATCTGACAGATAATGCAGGCTGGGTTTAACAGAGGCCATGGTACTAGGTATATCTAATGTTAGATGAATCTTGGCTGAAAGCAGAGAATACCAGAGGAATGTCTATCTGAGTTTCATTGACTATGCAAGGGCATTTGACTGTGTGGATCACAACAAACTGTGGCTAACTCTGAGAAGAATGGGAATCCCATAACACTTGATTGTGCTTATGCAAAACCTACACTTGGACTAGGAGGCAGTTGTCAGGACAGAGCAAGAAGGAAACATTGCATGGTTCAAAATAGGAAAGGGTGTTGCACACCAAGGATATGTCCTATCTGAATAACTTTTCAGTCTATATGTGGAATAGATTATCTGAGAGGCTGGGCTCTATGAGGAGAAATGTAGAGGAAGACTCACAACAACCTGAATTGTCCAGATGACTCAATCTTGCTTGTTGAAACTGAGGAAGTCCTGAGACATCTGCTGTAGAGAGTCAAAGACTGCAATCTTCAATCTGTATTGAAGCTCAACGTCAAGAAAACAGATTCTCACCATTAGGCCATTGATAGCACCATGACAGATGGAGAAGAGATTGAAACTGTTAACAATTTCAGCTTTTTAAGATCTACAATCAACACTCTTGGAACCAGCAGTCAGGAAATCAAAAGACTAATTAGATTAGGAAAGTCAGCTGTCAGGGACCTTTCCAGAGTGCCAAAGTGCAAAGATGTCAGTCTAGAGAGTAAGGTGTTCCTGATCCAGGCCATGGTCTTCGCAATTACTTGCTATGCATCAGAAAGTCGGACAGTGAATAAGAATTAGAGAAGTAGTGATGCCTTTGAGTGTGGTGCTGGAGAAGAGTATCGAACATGCATACCATGGACTGCCAAGAGAACAAACAGCTCTGTCTTGGAGAGTGTGAAACCAAGTTGCTCTCTGGAGGCTAGGATTCTGAGGCTTTGTCTCACTTTGGGCATTTTGCCAGGAGGGGGCCAGTCAGTCCTTGGAGAAGGACATCATGATTGAAATGATGGAGGGACAATACAGGAGAAGACCCTGAATGAGATGGATTGACACAGTGATTGGGGTGGTAGGGGCAGGTGTGTCTGAGACAATGAGATCAGTCCAGGATAGGACAGGGTTCAGAGCTATTGTACATAGATGGGATTGCTATAGGTTGAAGGTGACTTGAAAGCACATAGCAACAAGAAGTATAGAATAAGGGTAAAAGGTAATAGATTTCTTTATAACACCATATTGTTAAGTGTCATCAAGTTGATTCCAATGCATAGTGACCCTAGGTACAAAAGAACAAACTTCTCACCAATCCTGTGCCATCCTCACAATCTCTGCTGCACTTAGCCCATTATTCTTGTCACTGTGTCAATTCATCCTGTTGAAAGTCTTCTTTTTTACTTACATTCTATTAATTATGCTATCTTTCTCCAGGGACTGGCCCTTCCTGATAACATATGCATAGTATGTAAAAGAACTCTCATATTCCTTGCTTCTAAAAAGCATTCTGGCTGCATTTCTTCCAAGACAGCTTTTGTTCTTTTGTTGGTCTGTTTTATATGTAATGTTTTTCACCAACACTGTAATTCAAGGGCATCCGTTCTTTCTCGGTATTCCTTAATCATTGCGTAATTTTATTTTCAAAGTGACATCTTTTCTCTTAAACACATTAAGGCAGTTCTTTACAGTACATTTACTCAGTGAAAGATGCCATTTGATCGCCTGACTACTGCCTCCATGGATGTTAACTGCAGATCTAAGTAAAATGAAATCTTTAATGACTCTTCTGTTTATCATGATGGTATTTGGTGGTCCATTTGTGAGGACTTTTGCTTTATATTGAGGTGTAATCCATACTAAAGGTTATATATCACTGGTAATAACTTCAAGTAGTCTTCATTTTATGCAAGCCTGATTGCAAAACTTGTAAAAAAGGGGAATTCGAGAACATTTAATTGTGCTCATGCAAAACTTGTACATAGACCAAGGAGGAGTTTGAACAGAGCAAGGTCATACATACAACTTAAAATCAGGAAAAGTGTGTGTCAAGGTTGTAGCCTTTCACTTTGCCTATTTAAAATGTGTGCTAAGCAAATAATCTGAGAAGGACGACTATAAGAGGAAATCAGTATCAAGACGGGAGAAAAGATTCTTTAACAACCTATGATATGCAAGCAAATATAAATAAGACACCAAGGACTCAAACCTTAATTACATTCTGAACTCTGGTGGCCTTGTGATAAGACGCTGTGCTGAAACCCTAAAGGCATGCAGTTTGAATTCCCCACCTTTCCTGTGGAAGAAGGATGGGCAACATCCTCCTGTCCGATTTACAGCCTCTGAAAAACCACTTGAAGGTCAGCTATGGGTCAGTTTTGACTCCACAGCACACACAACAACAATTAGATTCTAATTCTAAATTTTTATAGAAAGAGACTGCTTCTTTTTTTCTCACATTTGATGGATTTAAATTCTCATCTCTTCCATTAGCGGTCCAGCACATAACACATGTTACCACCAGGACTCATATAATAACATAGGAAAGCCTATGAATTCACTTACTGTTATTATTTTTATCTCTTTCCGATACAATTAGTTGTTTACTAGAAACATTCCTCTACACTATTTGTCTTCTTCACCTCAGAATCACTACCACCTAGTAGAATGTCCCGCACATATTATATGCTCACTAAATATTTGTGGAATGGATGAAAGAGTAGGAGTAGATACTGTTAGAACTATACAAAATTCTCCTTACTATAAGGTTTCAGTTTTACAGTATCATATGCCACTTTCCCTTCTCAGTATACAAAGACAATTATTCACTTGAAATTCTTTGGACCTTTCAAGTTTGTGACAGATAAGGTTTTTGCATAGCTGATCTGTCTACTATGCTTGCTCCTCCCCCATGTTTAGAAACTTGGCTCTCTAGCATGACTTCATTTTAAGTGTCATCTCCTTAGAGAGATTTGGCACCCTACAATACAAACCTACCTTTCTTATTACTATCACAAAAATTTAATTATCTTATTGTCTATCTCCCTCATTTAATACCTTCCATAAGATCAGAGACCATGACTTTTTGTTTGTTCACCATTTTATAACTTTTTTTCCCCTGCCAGCAAGAGGGTATATCTAAGAGAATCTTCAGGCCCTGCCTGCCTTCCATCCACTCTTTGTTCCTTATTATATTTCTAGCCTACAGAAATCCTGGAACATTGAAAGTTGAAAGACTGAGTGAATGGAGAGTAGCAAAAATAACCTCTCTCAGAGAGCATATTGTTCAATATTGTCCATATTTTGTTGGATCACCTCTTTTCTTTTTAATCATTCTTTTTTTTAAAAAAAAAAGAAAAGAAAAGGAATACAGATCTCTTCCAGTCATTTGGCCAGTAGCTGTCTTTCAAGTTTCTTGGCATGGACCATCTAGCACATCCTGGACTACCTCTGTGTGTTTAAACATGCCAGTTGGTATTCCATCATTGCCTTCTGTGCAGC